CGGTAAATGAAGACAATTAGACGAGAATTGGAGACACAAAAAAATCAGTTGTGATTAATACAGGTGTGGTTCAACGAAAAGTTGATGCCTTCTTATACAACTGTCCAGTTCTTGTCAAATTTGTTTGATTTCTCATCTGCTGCATTAGAAATCTCTCTATTTCTCTCTTCTCTTGTGCGAAGGCTGAACTTGGTTGGTGTTGATTCGTGGTTCAGAATTGGAAAAATTCAATCAAAAAATGGCAATCTTCTTCTCAGATTTAAAGATTTAAACAACAAATCATCCTTTCCTTGCCAACTGGACTAATCCAACACTCAGCTCTGATTATTTAGTGCCAATCTTCGATACTTTGTCTGTTCATATCTTCGGTGGTTCCACTGCTCCCTGTGGTCGGCCTTCGGCCTCCGTCGAAAACCACTGTATTCTCTCGTTCTGCCTTACTATCACTACTGCATGTCTGCCTGCTGCTGTCCAGAACAGAACTCCAGAAGGCGTTCTCTCTCAATGCTGGTGCCACGAAAGGAGTGACCAGTGCCGCAGCTCAATGGGTATATGGTATGGTGCGGTGCCACGAAATCTTGATTCAGCGTTCTTTCAATGTCCTGTTCTTGACTCGTTTCTGTCACTTTCGGTCAATTTCCTCTTCATTCTCCCTCTCGGTCGCTGTTTTGCAAATTGAAGAATTGCTCGTCAAAATGCCAAGCTCTTCGGAAAACTGAAGTGAATCATCATTCTTTCAACGAAAACTGACTCGGTTCAACCGTCACTTCTCCGCAACTGCTCAAAATCTTTGCTGTCGTTTCTATTCGTCTCTTCATCTCTGTTTAACTATCAGTCCAAGACACAACTCCAAGAAAGCGTTCTCTCTCAATGCGGGTGCCACGAAATCTTGATCCAGCGTTCTGTCGCTGTCCTGCTCTTGGCGAATGGATCTCTGTGTCTGATCCAACTATGATTTGGGTGGTTGAGTTACTCGAATCATTCATTTCGGCTTGTAAGTATTTAGCAGTTTTCATCACTCTGATCCGACAAGAAACCCGCATTCTGGCTATCGGGAACCATTCATTTCGGCTTCGACTTGAGGGCAGGCTCACATTCAGAGACATATCTCCTGCTGTCATTCGAACAAAGCGTGTGAATTTATTGCAATCGACAGTGCACCGAATTCACTCTTTAGCGAAACCGAAAGCGCTCGCAGTACTGAAAAGATCGCAGAACTATCTCCCTAACCTCAGAAAATATACGAAACAGGAGACGATGACTGTGACAAGTAGCCATATGCTTTAGCAAGCTGATTCAGTGCTTAGATTCGGGATCAAATTGAATTTATTATTTTTTGCCTCCTCTCGTTTCGGATACGATGGGCTGTTGTCTCGAATTCAGCTTTATGGCCGATCCCGTATCAGACTGTCATCTCTGAGCGTTTTTCTTCTCATCCAGATAGAAAAGTTCAGTTGAATTGAGAATCTTTCGATCAAAGCAAATGATTTCGATCAACTAGGCGAGTGAAACAAGATTTCGTGGCACCCGCAACATGCCATATACCTTTGTGAGTTGCGGGACTGGTCACTCCTTTCGTGGCACCCGCATCCTACCATATGCCTATTGCGGTAGTGAGTGTCAGAGTGAGAGAGCACCCGCATTAGGAGAGAACGCCTTCTGGAGTGGTATCTTGGACAACCGCAGCCAGAGATGAAGCAAGCATAGTGAGGTGGGGTGAAAGAATGAACGAGAAAGAGTGAGAGACAAAGTGGGAGAATCAAGCGATTTTCGAAGGAGGCCGAAGGCCGACCAAAGGGTACAGTGGAACCAAGAGAGAGATGATCGGGCGGAATACCCAAGAGTTAAGGTGAATACTGAGAACGAAGCGCTCAATCAGATCAATTCGAAAGGAAAGGATGATTTTTCCGTGTAACACTACGAATCGGAGAAGGAGATTGCCATTCTGTGGAGGAATGCTTCAACTCCGAACGACAAATCAAGAGCGACCAAAGTAAACCTTTGCACTGAGCAACAGAGAAACAGAGAGATTTCAAAGACAGTTGACGACAAATCAAAGAGATTCAACAAGAACAGGACAGTTGTACAAGAAGGGGTTAATATTGTATGGCACCACTCCTTTTCATGTATCAGGATATATTGTTTTGTGTCTCCAATTCATGGGTGACTGTCATCTCCGAGCGTTTCTCTTAGCATCCAGATAGGAGATTTCGGTTGCCTGGAGACTGTTCTTGATCCGAGCAAACGACTTCTTGAGGATAGCAGAGTGCAATCAAGATCTCGTGGCACCCGCATCCTGCCATATGCCTATTGAGGTGGTGAGCGTCAGAGTAAGAGAGCACCAGCATTGAGAGAGAACGCCTACTGGTGCTGTGTCTTGGACAGCAGTAGAGAGAGATACAGCAGGCATTAGGAGGTGGAATGAGAGAGTATCGTTATCGTACTGAGTGCAACGTCGTCGAGAAGAGTTCATTCTTGCCATTCCGGAAGATGAGGCTAGCGTTAACACATCATAGATTTGGCGCTCGTAGAGCAGTAGAGTCAAGAATTTCGTCTGGATTACTTTTTTTCCGTTGGGCTGCTAAAAGAGCTATGAAATTTGTATGATGTTTTGTATAACTTGGAACGAAGAGCAAATAATTTAAAGGTAGAACAACCGACCATTTATCGGAAAATAAAGGTTCGACTCCAATCCACCTTCAATGATCCTCTTAGGACAGTCTGTTGCACTGTCAAAAGCACATCACTGCATAGATGGATACGTAGACAAATCAAATGAAAGCACGTTTCTACTCTTGACGACGAATACATCTCACTGACCGTCAAGATCTATGATACAAGGCGGAGCCAGCTTGAAGATTTGTTCTTTGAGAAAGAACGAAACTAAAGTCTTGGTGCTCTTCTTCTATCATAATCACCGTTCAGTGGTCGAGACAGCCAATCCGATTGAGGTATAGGAACATTGTTCCCTCTCACAGTCATAGAGCGAGCGATCCAACGCTCTCTGAAGGCCACTTGGACGTTCGAGTCTCACTGTCCACGTCAACGAATGTCTTCATCACCACCATTTACCGGAAACCGACCTTCACTGGCCTCATGACCAAGTGGAATTCATTTGTCCCATTCTCCTACAAAAAGGCAAGTGTGATGAGTATGATTCAACAAATCCTGTCTGTTTTCTCCACTTTCTCCCTCCTCGACATCGAATTGGAGACAGGCCGGCATTGCAGTCAATTGAATGTTTATCCAACTCACTTGATCGACACGCTCATCGTTATCGGCTTAACCAAATCCCGAAATAGAAACAACAACGATGAGTCACACTTACCCGTGGCCGGATGTGAGAAACAACGGTTGTACGTCGAAGTCCCATTCACCGGCGAGCAAACCGATCTAATGAAAAAGAAGATCCAACATTTAACCGAATCAATTCGTCCAGAGCTAGACGTTCGATTCGTCGCCAAACCCCCAAGGGCAGTCCAGACATTCTTCCCAACCAAGGATCGCGTACCGAAACATCTACAATCGAACACAGTGTACGCGGCAACTTGCAAAGAATGTGGAGACACTTACGTGGGCATGACGAAACGACAAACCGTCACTCGTCTGTGTGAACATGGTGCACCGAAAGACACGTTCGATCGAAAAATAAACAACATCGTCGATGGTGTCCAGCCAATCACTGTCCAGCAGCAAGCACGCTCGTCGAGAAGCACAACAACCAAGACGAAGGCGAAACAACAACAACAAGACCCTCCCTTACGACGATCTTCTCGAATAAGAAACCAGACAGCAACATTGGCCACCACGGGGACCAACACAAACGACAATCGACAGAGCGACCACACGACGAAGACGAAAGAACGAATGAAGAACGTCGATAACTCCTCGTCGATCGCAGAACACGAAGAAAGTACCGGTCACCAGTTGGACTGAAAGAGTTTCCATCTCGTGTGGCGTGACAGCAACGTCTATCGCTTTCTGATCAAAGAGTCGTTGGTCATTAGAGCCCATGAACCTCGAATCAATCGAACAACCCATTCGGTGCCCCTTCTGGTCTTTCCAGAAGGCTTGGAAAGACACTTGGTCCCTGACCCAAATGGGTGACCGCTCTCTCTATCGATAGCGTAGAAGACGTCGCGAGAATCGAAGAAGAAGAAGACCGATGACGATCAAAACAACAAACGAACAAGTGTGGTTTCCTCGTTCATGTCATCGTCATCCAGCAGAACGTAAAGATTATTCGTCACCANCAATCGAACAACCCATTCGGTGCCCCTTCTGGTCTTTCCAGAAGGCTTGGAAAGACACTTGGTCCCTGACCCAAATGGGTGACCGCTCTCTCTATCGATAGCGTAGAAGACGTCGCGAGAATCGAAGAAGAAGAAGACCGATGACGATCAAAACAACAAACGAACAAGTGTGGTTTCCTCGTTCATGTCATCGTCATCCAGCAGAACGTAAAGATTATTCGTCACCAGCTGATGACGCACTGCTCTTCTGATCGATCATTTCCCCGTCGTTCTTCTTCTTCTGTGTTAATTCACTGTGTGTGTCGGTCTGTGTGCCGTCGATTGCATTCTCTCTCTCACCATCAAAGGGTTTCTCTGCTTCTCTCGCTTTTCCCCCTGGGTGTAACATCTCTCGTGGTTGTGGTTGTGTGTGCTCTCGTCTTTTCGTCACTTGTGCTTATTGTATCTCTTGAAAATGGCTGCATAGACAGCCGAAACGTCGAAATAAACAATAACATGTTTATCAACGCCGCTGTTATCTTCTCATTCATCATTAGAATGAAGTAACTATACTCTGTCGAAATGTGAATGAATACGACACGCATATACTGGGAGTCTCAACAAAAGTACGACGCGAAGAGACATGTCCTAATTTCAGTCTAGAGTCGAGTGAATCGGAAGCCGATGAACGTTACTTGTTGATTAAAGCCATTTAATCGAAAAAAGTATGATATGATCTTTTATGAAGAAAAAGGAATTAAAATATTCTCATATCTGTTTTTTTATGTCTTCTAGTAAAGTATCAAGTTTCTTGTTGTCTTTGATGAGTATATCGTTGAGATATTTACGAGCTTTTTGTACAAGGCCATACCACATTGAAGATAACGAAGCAAAGCGTGTTTCGAGTACGGCAATAACAATAGCTGATCTAAGCACTTCAGTGTTTGGCCACTGCGGAAAGTCTGGAAGAGATTTGCCGAGCAAATTTTCAATACCCTTCGAGTCTATATCCCATGAGCCATTGAATTTTTGTTTGCTAATTAATTTTTGAACAATGTCACGCTGTCCATTGTCGACACTACGCCCAGATCTCATTTCCTGAGAATCGGATGCAGAAGGTCCGTGTGATCCGCTACCAGTTGATGTATTTGTTACAGCACTCTTGCCCTCGTCGTGATCATCAAGATCTCCAAAATAACTATCAAACTCACATTCGAAATCCCGCAGCTCCCATGGATCATTCATTATTCGATCAAATGTGTTGTGATAACGCTGTTGAGAATCTTGAAGAAATTTTCGAGCGGCTTCGAAATACTGATAAGCGTTATAATCTCTTCGACAGTATGAACTTCTGTAGCCGTAAGAACTGAATTCTTTAACAGCTTTGTAATAGTCCAATATAGCATCGTCTCTGACATTTCGATAGATCTCATATTGATCCCAAGCTTTTAACCAACGCATCCGAGTTTCACGACACTTCTTTTGAAAACGATGACAATCTAGCTTAGGGTTTGAACGGCGGTCATTGTTGTGATGATAAGTTGGAGATGACCTTGTCTCATCGTCCTGCTGCGAAAAGTTTAGGGATTTATAGAAGTCCTCTCTCAAAGATTCTGTCTGTCGTTGGTCATTACTCAAATGATAACTAATAGATCTAAAATCCTCTAGAGCTCGACGACAATTCATTTGGGCAGAATACAAACGACTTTGAGCGTATTTAGGATGATAGACACTTTGATGATACTGCGTCTTGTCACAGCTCATTTGAGAATAACATAATTGTTGACCTAGTAAGTGTTGATCGTCAGCCGATATTTGAATAGGTACTTCGCGCAAGACCATGGCAGCATTACTAGCATTAACACGTTTTTCAATACCAACAAAAGCCGTGTGTGGACTAAGAATATTATATCTGAGTGAAAGTTTTGTTATTTTCTCTCTTGCTGTGAATGATGATTCTTCATGTTGTAATTCAAGAATTGATGCTTTCGTAGCCAGTCGAGCAATCGTTTGATTGTTGCTCACAGTTGGAATTCGATTGACATGAGCCTCACCTAAACGATGCTGCCCACTATATAATTCGACACTAATATCGTGTTCAAGTGATGTCGATTGTTCGCCTAAAAATGCATAGACAATGATACGATCGTTGACATAAACTGGTGGACTCTTGGTTGGAACGACATTTGTTATGGTTGCCTGTGAATTCCATTTAATTTGAACATCAGTAATACATGGTTGTAATGCTTTTTGCAATTGTTCACCCACATACGAGTCAACATATGTATAAGGTGGAATGAAGACAGAACGACCATTTGTTGCACGTGCAAGACCTTTAACAAGAGAACGACTAGGTGAGAAACCTAAGCCAAATGAAAAGATTCGGGTCGATTCAGACATAGAACTACATAAATTGAGTACTTCATCAACATTGGCAATTTCACCATCAGTAAGAAGAAATACTTGGCGAGAATGGCCATGTTTTGGCGGATTGTCATTTAACCAGAAAAGAGGTAACAACTACAATGAAATTGATTTGTTTTTAATATGCATATGATGATCGAAAGATTATCAGCTTACCAATTCGGTGCCACCCAAGTTCGCTCGCAAGTATTTTATAAGAGATTCTGCCCGCTCGGCATTGTCTTGATCGTAAACGGCTGTAATATTGTCAAATAAATTCTCAAACCTCGACCCAAATCGTATAATGTTAAAATGGCAACCGACAGGAAGACTCTTGAGAAAGAGCAACATAGCCTCACGAACTAATTCAATCTTGTGTTCACTACCCATAGATCCACTACAATCGACGAGAAAAATAAATTCATTGGTAGTCTCATTTGTATTCATCACTTGTCGACAGTCTTCTTTAGTAGGTGTGAACGAAGCCATGATCGCACCAGATTCAACAGCAACAATTGTATTCGAATGATTTTCGGCCAACTCAATGTCGAGAAGAATGTCTCGATCCAAAGATGTACCTTGCTGAGCAAATTCAACGACATAAACATCATCTTGATCAACAGATATTTGAATTGGATGAGACAGTGAACTAATACGTAATATTTCAACTTTTTCAACTTTTTCTACTCGACAAAGGAATTCAATTGTATAAGGGCTTGATTGTACATATTCTGAAGTGGTACCAGCTGGTGCACTGATATCGCCAACATTTGGATTGTAACGAGGTGCAATGGTTGTTGGAACAACAAATCGGATTTTGGTTCCATTTTCGACAAGATCCAACTCGGTAACATAGGATATAGTGACGTGACATTCTGTAGAGGCAGAAAGTGCTCCTACATTAACTATAAAATTATCTAAAGATTTTTCATCTTGTTCAAGTAAATAAGCACCGTGACCTTGTCGAAGAGCATCATTATATGCTCGTTGTGCAGCATCCTTCTCTTTTAATTCAGCTACAATTTCCCGATCATCGATACGAGCTCGAAAAGCATAAACAGCTGCTTGTTCTTCGATGGGGAAACAGTAGACGGCTTCAATCGGTGTTGTTTCATCATTTCGAAATACTTGTGTAATTGTAACATCAGCTGCAAATGATCGAATGGTTGCTTCGACGCTTACTCGTTTCAGAGGAATATGCGTTCGTTCTGACTGATTTTTCGCTTGTAACATACTGAAATGATTGTTTATAACTGTCTTACTTTACAATACTTTTTTCTTTTATACTGATGTGATGAGGAGGGGAAAAACCTTCAATCGTCATTGATTCAAAAACAAAAGTTCCCTTCTCTGAAAGAGAGAGTCCTGCAAACTGAAATTTTTTGTTTATTCGTCTGTGCCATGGTATAGATACCATGAAGGGAAATATCCAGTATGGACATTCTTCGATGACGTTTCTCTTTCATTCTTT